TCGAGTCGATTTTTCCTGCAGTGCTGAGATAACCGGACTGGAGCATACCCAGTTGGATGACTGAGAGCGGTCTTTTTCCGGACAAGTCCGGTACCAATTTCTCGACCTTGGAGGGATGAGAGGCTTGGTTAGGCCGTAGCTGGATCGAACCAGCACAGTGCTTGTGATGGATGGCATTATTACCACTGTGCTATCCGAACCCTGTTAGCACCCAATAATCTTGAAAAATTTAAAACAATAGACCGAAATGAGAGTAAAAACCGTAAATCCGGTGTGCAACATGCTTCCTCAATGAGAATTCGTTCGCCGCGAAGAAGAAGAATCGTCGCCGAATATGAGAATCGCCTAGCAGCACAGGTCACGCAAAGGTGAAAATGGATATTTACATAAAGAAAGAAATGCGTAGAAGAAACATAGAAGCACGTGCTGCCTTTGAAGCGGAAAAGCAACCACTTAACTGGCAGGTATATAACTTCGCATTCAGCTTGTTGACTTTGCGATCTTTGAGCGATCGCGATCGATTCATCCATCATATCCATGCTCATATCTCAGTCACGTTAGGAATTTTAACCATCTCATCCACAAAGCACAAGATTAGGTTGGAAAACGCAGTTTTAATTGAGGCCTTCGAAAAAATCGCATCATCGAGAGATGGGAAAACTCATTGGAAAGTAGGTTCGCCAGCAATGTAATTAGAATACACAATGATATGTGGATTAGAAGTGAATTAAGTTTTAAAGGAAAGCCATGCACTATTTATGGATCACAGAAATGTCATGTTATATGGTATGAACGCGTAGAAGTCATTATCTCTAAGCCAATAGAGAAATATGCTGGAGACTGCATCAGTCGTGAACACGTGCCATGGAAGTGTCCAGGGAGCATTGTTGTTTTTATTAGTACCACTACCACAGTAATACGGAAATGGAAATGTGGTAAAAGCAACTACAAGAGATCAGAACTTCGAAGCATATCTGTCGCGATATGTCAGCGACTTTCTGATCGGATGTAAGAAAATTTACTAAGTGCTTAAAAAATTTCCAACATTTGTCCTGAAGAATAGGAGCTTAAAGATGATTATCACTTCCCACATGTTCTTAGCAAAAGTTCGGCATGTTGTTGCCAACCTATTCCGAAAAATTTGGCTTCAGTTTAAAAAATGGTACTCTCAGAATACAGCAATCTATGCAAGTAAACTAAGTAAAAGAAAGAGAATGCAAACAGAGGTTGCGAATAAGAAGGGCGAGTAAGCTAATACTCAAAGAATCATTTCAGCTAGCTTAAGAGCTGAGCGACATCGCTGAGGATGCATTTATGAATAGGACAAATCATGCGTGCAACAAAAATCCACATCATCTACGCTTCGAGGGAAACAACACACACACATACAGGTCCTGAAAACATTATCGTGCACACGCTGCTATTTGGCACTTTTTTATATGGGAATAGACGTGGGCGGAAATAAAACAAAACAACAAATTTTTCCATGCTGCGAAGGCGTCAAAATGAGAGAGGTGTACAGCAGCTTGCGAGCTGACGGACGACCTGACGAGGAATAAACCTCAGGCAATCGAAATCATTGAGAACATGTTGACGATTGTGAGCCGAATGAGAGAGAGGGAGAAAAACAGAGCTGTACGGCAGTGAAGAAATAACTTATGCAAGCGACGAGCGACAAATTTCGTTGGATTCAATCGTTATTCATTTAAAGTTGCACTCAGAGAGATGTGTAGCGTAAATCGAAGAACATAAGACTTCAAATAGACAAGCTACTGATCGACATTGAACGAATATGGTTTGTTTCAGTCGGAATCGAATCACAGCTCTATGCTCATGGCTCCAGCAGACACCAGCAGATCCCCTAAATGCACTGAAGAAACCGCCTTTAAATGCGACCACTGCTCCTACACCAGCAACTAGTTCAAAACACGTTAAACCTACCGCAGCAAAGGGAAAGAAAAGAGGTGGTTCAAAGGCTACCACTACTGGGACGACGCAGGGATCAACTGAGGAATGAGTATTACTGACTTTTATTTTTCAATGGCCGATTTAAAAGCTATACATCTACCTCGATGCGTTTTTATATACGTTCACCATTATATTCTATGAATTGTGGATGGGTAGTAAGAGCTAGACAGGATTCTAGTTTCTGTGAGTTATTAGGTTACCAGAAACACTAACTTCGTCCAACTCCTACAACTGAAAGAATTTCAAACCATTGAAGAACTTCTCACAACATTACTGGATGGTTATCTCACATCAGACAAAAGCTTGCTATCTAGAAATTGCTCATAGTGTAAATCTAGTCATCTTATAAGTTCGTCGAGATTCCTACAATGTTCTTCCATAGCTGTGTATGGCGTGTTTTGCTCTGTCATTTGGTTTTGATCGTGTTCAACACTACCTTTATTCTGTCTTTATTTATCACAAAGTCTTTCCTATTGCTATCGCTTTATCTTCTCCTCCTATTCATCCTTCATCCTATTGCTTTATCACAAAGTCTTTCCTATTGCTTTTTCTAGCATCAAGATCGACCTTATGAAAAGCCATCCCTTCAATCGTTCTTGCTTTTGATTGTCTGGTTAAACGTTGACGCTTCATTAACATCCTTGTAATTATCCACTTTGTCAGTGCTGTATTGGTGGGTCATATGTGATAAGGAGGAGAAGAAATTTTCGGAGGAGACTACTCACAGTTCGCCTATCTTTGTTGGGCTAATGATGATCTCTATGGTATGAATAGTGCATCCCATCAAAACCACACTGCAGCTAAATCCCACCTCGCTGCCAGATGGGCATTTGACGGCACACGATCCCACTATAACCTTTGTCATTACTTGAAAATGAGTCAAGTAAGCTTGGAGTTAATCGTCTGTCGTACTCGTGGCCATAGAAACCCATTTATTTCTCCCATGATTTAGCTGATTTCGGATACGAGCACTGCATTCTGGTCTACAAATATGACATTAGGTTTCAACCGTTCTCGAAAGGCGAACACGATTTACTGTGTGCTGAGCTGGATAATATTTTCTTTCCGCATCACTCTTCTTACAAATAGTTATGAGATTAAGGATCATTTGACTCAAAATCAGTACTGAAACGTATCTGCGAAGTAGTAGGTATTCATCTATAAAAAACAAATCCCACGTTCACCTTGAAAGAGCACCTGTGGCTCTGCTCAGGCACTCACATTAGGCGAAGTCGTGCTATCAATCGGTACATTTTCGTTAAACACGGTAGAAAAAAGGGAACCATACGAAAAGCACGACGCCCTTCATCTTCCTGGAGCGAGTGGAGCCGCTGGAGAGCTGCAATCAGTAGCAGCGACGAGTGAAAACTTCACTGGACTTATTCAATGAAAAGTTAATAGAACAGCCGGTGATGTGTGTTTTAGTTTTCATCATGTACATGAAAGCCTATCAAGTGTTAGAGCCTTCCTAGAAAAGTTGTTTCTTGAAAAAATTATCCGGATAAACAATAAAAATCTAACTTCCTGAAGTAATAACGTAGTTTTCAGCAAAAAGGGAAAAAAGAAGTCTAAAGGAAAAGGGAAAAGTGGCGATAAAGGTGGCAATAAGTAAGTTGCAACTTCAGCCTGTCTAAGGGTGTCCATCAAATCAGAAACATCGTTGATATTTCAGAGCACACCAGAGAAACGGAAAGTAATCTTACTAATAATGATGTAAACGAGCATGCAATGAAGAACAGATTCGTATGCATAAAATGAATGATTGAAATTTAATAAAGACGTTATTGCAGAAGTGTTATGTTCCGTTCGAAGAAGTCTGTACTACTCGTCGCAGTGTGGGTACAGTGAGCTGTCATTGAAAAAATGTGTTCCGCTCGAGAACTGGACCACTTGTAGTTGTTGGGATACTGAAGGCTTTTTCGTCCAGCATGTATATGTCGCCTTTGACTCTCGAAAGCTGACACATTTGCCGAACAGAAATTCGAGATTCACATATTAAAAAACTGTACACGACATGGGGTGTAGGAATAGGATCATAAATCGAAGAAGAGATTCACGTCGCAGGTAATCTGGCGGTGATGTTGTGCATCGAAGTTGAGCAGACCGTCATAGGGACAGTCAGGAAGAGTTCTCATGCCAGCAAAGAAAATGTTTAAGAATGCTTTGATGTGTCGGAATGAAGCAGAAAGTGAACGCATCTCACAGCCTTTTTCTATATAATCCATCGAGTGCTTTTGTAAAAACCGAGTCGATTAAAATGTCATTCATTCTCATCTTTATGATAACAGCAGTGATGAAGCCCGTCTAATGCGGTCTTTGTGGAATTTAAACTAAATGACTTCTTTCCAAAAAATCTGCAAGTCAACAGGTAATTACTGTGTTCCCTCAGATCAGTCCTGTTGGCGGGCGATTGCTGATAGCTACTATAGGTCAATAACACGGTTGAGAAAGAGCCGAAAGAAAGGACTCGCATGGTGTGGTGGTGAACGCGTTAGCCATTGGAAAGGGTAGTACCGTGTTCGGTCTCAACCGTCGACACCAGCGGTCCGGAGTTTTGTAAAATCTCAGCATCATTATGGTTGTATTTCACACAGTACCCTGCCTTTAAAAATCAGTAGGCAGTAGATAAAACTGACGAGATGGTAATAACTCTACCAGTTCAAAATGACGATGATTTTCTGAAATCGTACATTGTACATTGAACGACATACTGATGTAATAGCATGGACGCTGAAAGAAAGGTAGACAATTGGGAAAATCATACCACGATTGTTTAGTAAATTTATAATCATCTAAGGCTTTATTGCAGAGTTATAGCGATAATAAATGGTTTTAGGAAAAACAACCGATACACATTAACGACGTGTTAGATGAGACCAGTTGAGCTTCAACTTTGAACGTTGTCACAATTGGAAAAGATAGAATATAGGATATGGAATGTTGGAGACCTGATAGTGCGAGAAAGTACTGTACAACGTGATGTGTCGCCAATGTTGTGAGGTACGACGGGGTACGGAGCCACCTCCCTTCTTTCAATTGTTGTTGTTGAAGAACCAATCCGGTGGTTGTACGAAGAACACACCACCGTCGGTAGCACAATACGTTGGACAAACCTTGAAGCAAAACAAACAGATTGCTTCCTCAATGGGTTGTTGTTTTGTTGTGGGAAGACTAACCTATGGGTTAACAAGACCCATATTCTATTCATGACTTTATTAGTTACATGGATCGAACATTGTTCTACATTTCTGTTATCTACTTCCTTCTCGTTTCTCATTCCTCCTTAACCGAATTCAACAATCATAGTCTCCTTTTATTAGGTTGGCAGTGTTACAACCTTCACATTAACAGAACGAATATCTCGTTTTTATGTGTAAAACTCTTATTATCTTTTTTAAAACAACATAATTAGCCTGTAGAACCTTACCCCTTTTCTCCCGTCCTCTCCAGGCTCTCCTATTGGTCCCTCCGGACCGACGCCACCATTTGCACCAGGAAATCCATCTTTTCCTTTCCTTCCACGTGGTCCTGGTGGTCCAACTGGTCCGTCTATACCTGGCATTCCCACCGGACCTGCAACAAATAAGGAAGTAATACGTCCAAAGATCACAGGCCGTTTAAATTGCAGAATAAGGTTTTTCTTTACCAGTTATGTGATGTGCACTTTATTCGAGTATTAATTTTCCACTTACCTAACGAATACCATTTAAACGAGTGTCTATTGGAATCAAAACCATTAAACCTTCCACTGTTAACGTTCGACAGTTCGTTAAACGGCTTAGGTTAGTTGAAACCACTAAGATAGTACCAGGTGGTCCAGGGGGTCCTTCATTTCCTACTTCACCCGGTGGTCCAGGTATGAATGGTTGCGGCACGGCATCCTCTCCAGGGTCACCCACTTCTCCATCCAGACCAGGAACTCCACGAGCACCAGGCTATAAATGAGAGATGGAATAAAAAGTATTTAAACAGACAAAAAAGGAGGAGTAACGGTTAATTTGTTCATTTGTTTATCTTTTCTTTCACACGGCCTGACAGGACATATTATAAGGGTCCCAGCACTTTATTTATTCAATCTTCTTCACATCCGTCATCCACTATGATCTTCAGATTTGTACATGGGTTTGGCTGCTGGTTGAGGTCTTTTGGTTTCGTTTTTGACGAATGTCATTGAATGTTGATGAAGTCAATTCTCTTTGAAATCCTGAGATAGCAGTGCAAAAGTGTTCCAAGGTATTCATCACGTGCAGTCGTTAAGCGTTGTTGTTCAAAGGGAGTCCTTACCAGACAAAGGCAAGGTCGAACCAAGGCGCTGCGTGTATTATTGCACGGCATCTTTATTACGGCGCTATCTGCACCACGGCTAGTTATAAAGCACAGAAAATAAAAAAATATTTCTGGTTAACAAAATTAAGATACGGAAACGTTCACGACATACAAGTAATTTGGTAGCAGTTCAAAGTAAAGTTGTATTGACAATAAAAATTTACGCCAGAATACGTAATAAAAGTGTTCTAGAACCATAATAATAGCAATCACTACGTAATCATGTAACAGTTATGGTTAAAAGACAAAATATTGCAAATTTTTGCATGATAAAGGAAGCATTAAAAATTTAAAATCAATACTGTTAACTTTTATTTACTGCCTATCATAATTTTTCATGGCAGGGTATTACGTATGATACAACCACAGTGATGCTGAGATATTTGCAAAACTCCTGGCCACAGATGTCTGAGGTGGGGAACGAACGCGCTATTACCCTTTCAGGGGTTAACGTGTTCACCACCACACCATGCAGTTCCTTCGTTTCGCCTGTCTCAGATATTTGCGAAACTCTGGAAGTCCCGAATATTGCAAATATCTCAGCATCATTGTGGTTGAAAAGCAATAACACTTCTTGTTGTATCAGTATAATGTCATTTTACTTTGACTTTGACCTAAGTTTGTTGTAGTTTAGTAAGTTTCTCTTCTTACCTCTCCTTTTGGGCCCTGTTCACCGTCTACGCCTCGTTTCCCAGGGTCACCAGGCTTTCCAATAATTCCCTTATCTCCAGGAGTTCCCTAGAAACAACCACTTTTGCTTCTTTGCCTTTAACCGAGTTTCACTTTACAATATACATTCTAGATGAAAAGTTATTGATATTGAGCATCAATCCCTCCGTCGTGCATCAAACTCCTTGCACCATTGTAGAGAGATTTAAATGCACATATTGGCTGCATAATAATTTGCTGTGGCCAACCTATGTGTCAATTCAATGTTTTTTATTTTTCCACACTAGTGAGGCACCAATTTGTCTACCCCGTAAGGGTCAGAAAGTTTAGTCAGCCCAAGGAACTAGATCGAAATAACGACAACACGTAGTACACCTGCTTTACACGCGTTCGATATTAAAAAATTAGGTTTTTAATTCAAAAATTAGCTAAGTTCGCATTATGGTACCACGGAGATTACAATGACCCTCAAAATTTCAAAATCTCAAACCCTCAAAATTTTGATAAGAAAAATTAGCACAACATACAGTCTCGCCCGGTGGTCCCTGCATTCCAGTGGGACATGGATCAGGGCACGCCTTTGAGTAGTCGATTGGTGGCTCGCAAGGCAACCGTGCCGGCATTCCAGGGGTTCCTGATGCTCCTGAAGGTCCAGGCATACCATCTCTCCCAGGAAGACCGGGTGGCCCAGGTGGATATTCGCACCTGAAGAGGAATAACTTGTTTTCAAGACCACAACAAGTAAGTGACTTGCAGTTGATATTTTGGAATTTAGAAATAACTCTTTGGTTACGACAATAACTCTCCTTTCTAGAATCGATTACAAACGACACTAGTCTGTTCTAATATGAATCCAACGAAACATGCCATTATTAGTAAAGTGAGTTTCCCGTTTGCTTCAGTTTTTTAGAGGAAGGCTGGTCTGCGTGGCATAAGTTTTCAAGAGATGGTCCACTGACGAAGACTCAACTCAATACGAAAGCAAAGTCACCACATCGAGACGAGGAACAGCCAACTTGGATCGTCGGCTATGTTGAAGACGAAGACGTCGAAACGTTGGCCGAATAAGGATTATATATATCAGCCTCGCGTAAGGTTATCAAAGAAAGAACACATATTGACATAAGTTTAGTTTGTTTTGTTTTTTCAGTTTTGCTTCGCATTCTTGTTGAACAAACGCAGAGTGTTATTTCATTCTTTATTCACGAACAAGCTGACGTTTCGGCGGATTTCGCCTTCCTCAGAGCCTGGAAGGGTCAAGTTGACAGCAATCTATCCGGCCAAACATTTCCATAACCGAACGGAGAAAATGCTAAACCAAGATTTCAATCACATTGAACACAGCTTTGCACACTCTCCACTTTTATGAGTCTTCCACTGAGTATGTCGCGTGAAGGCCAACGCAAGGAATCCACATGGAAGCGTAATGTGTCCTCCCATCAAAATAACAGGCTTATATACTGCTCAATATCACGCGTGGTAATGAGGCATTCTTCCAGGCGGTTCATTTTCGGATTTCTGGAATTAATCCAGAACGCCTCGAAAGTTTTACGCGCTTGTATTCTCGATTCCTGTGCGAGGATCGTGACACGTACGTCAAAGTCCTCCCCTTTATGTCCCTGGGTCCTATGTCTAGTGGGGTATTTGGTTTACGCTTGCGGACTAGGTGTTCTTTTATGCGGAGACAGAGTGGTCTACCCGTTTCGCCAATGTATTCGTCTCCGCATGTCTTACAGGAGATCAAATAAGCTATACCCGAGCTCATGCAATCACCATCTCTACCACTAGGCATTTCAACTACGTTCACCGAATTCTTTGGACCCACCCTTCTTAAGCAGTGTTCTATAGTTGCACTTACATCATTTGTGATGAAGAGTAAGATAAGCGGGATCTCTTGTCGTTAGAGTTGTCGTTTGCGGGCCTAGTATTTCCTATACACCTATTTCGAGCTACGGTTAAGTAGCCATTAGAAATGGTTACTTGCCGTGCCTCTCTCCGCTCTCTTCGCGTGCACACGTTGGTTGCTGTTTGAAACATGTTTCTTACAAGCACGCTTTTCAAGTGAGATGGGTGAGAGAAGGGGTAATGATTCTTTATTCACGAATAAGCTGACGTTTCGGCGGATGACCAACCGCAGAGAATTCACGTGAAAGCGTAATGTGTCCCTCCCATCAGAATAGCAGCCTTACATACTGCTCAATATGACGCGTGATAATGAGGCATTCTTCCCTGCCTGCTGTTCATTTTCAGAATTCTGGAATTAATCCAGAATGCCTCGAGAGTTCCTCGCAACTGTGTTCTTGATTCGCGTGCAAGGATCGTGACACATACTTCAAAGTCCTCCCCGTTATGTCTCTGGGTACTATTCGTGCCTAGCGGCGTATTTGGTCTATGTTTGCCGACTAGGTGTTCGTTTATGCGGGCACAGAGGGGTCTGCCCGTTTCGCCAATGTATTCGTCTTCGCACGCCTTACAGGAGATCAGATAAACTATACCCGAACTCATGCAATCCCCGTCTCTACCACTGGGACAAATTATGCAATTTTGCGTTGCACATAGACGGTCGTTTAGGCGGCTACGAACTAACTGGCGCCTAAGATTACTCGGTGATATTTCAACTACGTTTACCGACTTCGCTAGACCCGCCTTTCTTAAGCAGTGTTCTATAGCTTCACTTACATCATTTGAGATGAAGGGTAGAATATACGGGACCTTTCTATCGCTAGAGTTGTTGTTTGGAGGTCTACGATTTCCTCTACACCTATCCTGAGCTACAGTTTCGTAACCATTAGAAATGGCTATTTGCCGTGCCAAGTTCCGGGACTCCTCTCTCTGCTCTCTTCCCGTGCACACGTTGGTTGCTGTTCGAAACATGTTTCTTATAAGCGCCCTTTTCGTGTGAGAGGGGTGAGAGGAGAGGTTATGAACCAAGATGTTTTCACTACTTGGCTTTCGATACCAATTCGTAATGTAGCTGTTTTCGGATAGGTTGATCTGAACGTTTAGAAATGGAAGCCAGTTTTCTTTCGGTTACTCGCGGGTGTATTTTATATACTCTGACTTTTCGTTCAATCACTCAAAGCATTTGTCCATCTCCTCTTGTGTGGAGCAGATGACAAAACAGTCATCTATATACTTAGAGTAGAGTAATGGCCTGAGATCGATTACTGGTGCTTCCACTTTAGGCATAAGGGCAACGGCAAGGGTTGTTGCCAGTCGTTGTCCCATTCCCAACTCTCTAACTTGTGCATAATATTTTCCGGTCCATCTGAGGATCGAGCAGTTTAGGCAGACCTTTAAGAGGACCATAAGCTGCTGAATCGAATAGCCATACATGTTAGTTGCTCCTTTGTGTTGCTCGAGAAGCTTGCGGATGGTTTGCATTACGGAGTTGTTCGACACATTAGTGTAAAGGACGGTCACGTCGAACGACTCCATAACGTACGCGCTTTTGGGACGTGCGTTGCGCAGACGGTCTGGGAACATTTGGGTGTTCGTGAAATGGGCTGGTATGTGCTTAAGCAACTGGTTGAGGATTAGACGGATTTGGACGTTCAAATAAACCTATCAAGTAGCGGTTACCTGACAAAGTGGTACCGAAAGCCAAGTAACAAGAACATCCTTGTTCATTTCCTTTCTTCCCACCCTTCACACACAAAGAGGGCGATTGTGAGAAACATGTTTCGAACAGCCACCTCTGTGTGCACTACCAGGGAACTAAAGGAAGAATCGCGCGACTTGACTCGGCAAATAGCCATCTCCAATGGCTAGGAAATAGTAACCCCACGAGATAAGTTTAGAAGGAGAGCGACGCGCCCACGCGAAACAGTTGGCCAAAAGAAAGTCCCGTTTATGTTGCCTTGTATAAACGATGAAGTAAGCGTAGCTATAAAACGATGCTCAAAAAGGGCAGGTCTAGAGGAATCGGTAGCGACAGTTAAAATACCACCGGCTACTCTACGTCATCAATTAGTTCGTAACCGCCTGTATGACCGTCTGTGTGAAACAACAAATTGCGTAATTTGCCCTTACGGCAGGGACGGTTATTGCTTGAGTTCAGGTACGATATACCTGATCTCTTGTAATAATTGTGGAGACGAATATATTGGCGAAACGGGCAGACCTTTGTGTATCCGTATAGAAGAACACCTAGATGGCAAACGAAAACTAAGACGAAGCACCCCACTAAGCACTCATAGGATACAAAAGCATAGCGGAGACGATTTTGAAGTAAAAGTCAATATCCTTGCACAGGAGTCCAAAACCCCAGGCTTTTTGGATCAATGCCAAAAACCTTACAATGAATAGCAGGGACGAATGCCCGGAGGTCGTACGCGACCTGATCCCGTACGTTCGCATCGATTTTTGATGTGGGATGGTGCAGTCGTCAACCACATGCGACTATAATCAGCTGTCCTAAACTTCCTCATTGGAAGTCACGAAAAAGCGGTGGGTTATTCGAGAAGTTGTTGATCGTGTAATTACCAAAGAGTCTTTCGTCTTTTTGTAAGTGTTATTGAAGCGTTTGGCCTAGTAGAGGATTGTATATCAGCATGCCCTTCCAGACTCTGAAGAAGGCGATACTGCCGAAACGTCAGCTAGCGTTGTATTGTGTTGTGTTTTTATGGAAGTAAATGTATGCTGTTTAAAAACCTCGCGATTGCTGAACAAGAAATCGACGCATTCATATTCCAATGCCGAGGTTAATAGAAAGCCGATCCTGGGAACTATTAGTTCAGTGCCTCTCTTCATTTTTCTACAGAAGAATAACTAAACAACTAAACTGAATTCTACTTTTTACATCTTCTGCGAGCGATCAGCCAATTTTGATCTCGAGTTCTTTACCTACATTTGTTCTAAGTATCGCAGTCGAATCAAATGGCACGACTATTGGAAGGGATCAGTGATAAAACAAAGCTTTCTCAGATCTTTATTACGATGAAAACCTGAAAACTTCCAAGCAACGCTACGTCAGGATATTAAGGGAAAGGAAAATGGTCAACCAACGATAGAATAGTTTCAGTAAGTCACACACTAGGAGTTCCTGTCCGTGCCGCCAGGCAGGGATACAACCGTTAGATACTCTCAAACTTTGGGTTTCCTAGGTCGTCATCGGACTTCGTCCAGACGAATACGCCCACAATTCGCCAAGGACACTGCTTCTTGCTGTGCACCTATTAGAGTAGGACAGTCTCTTTAGGTGCTAATCATTACGCTGTTTTTGAGGCTACTGGTCGCATCACATTTCATGTAATCGCCCTCTAGGAGGCAAAAGCATCTATTCACACCAATTGGATGATGGGACCATCGCCATTCGCGGAGGTAAGTCCCCATTACGAAATGTCGGTGACTTTGGCTTTGTTGTTCACCCATCTATTTCCCATCTACTTATTTCATACTCAATCTTATCACCGCGTTTGGCCATTCTTCTTCTCCAACTTTCGCGTCAAAAGACAATCAGCATCATCAACTGTTACTCACCAACTTGTACATCTGATGAGAGTGAACTACACGCGCTCCACAACCAGCTGGAGGATACAATCCCCAACGAAAAGTCCTTCTATAACATCGTTGTTGGACACCTCAACGCCAAGTTAGGGATGGCCAACGAAAATCAATGGGAATAAAATTCGGAATAAGAGAACAAAATAAGAATAGGAATCGATTTTCATGACTCTTGTCGAAGTAGATCTCATCAATCAAAAGTTATTATTCGAGAGTAAAAATAGTCGTTGCTGGACATGGGAGTAAACTAACGGTGCAACACATACAGAGATCAACCATATCCTTACAAACGGAATATGGTGCCTACTTAACAAATTGATAGCCCCAGTCGTATATAACGGGAACGTACTGAACGAAACCCTATCCACACATGAGTGGCAGAATGAAGAATACCCGAACAAAGATTATGAGCTGCTTTTGAGAAGACACTGAAGTAGTGCTTTGTCTCAGCAAAAAAAAAGTCGGGTCGCGTTTTTACCGCTATTAAGAACGTGCTAAAGAACAGGAAACAGCTGGTCCTATTGCAACACATCTAGCCAACTGATAATGAATGTCAGTTGCAGAGTCTAACGAATCTCATGACAATTTTTGCAAAAATATTTTCCTGTTGTCCGCCTTAATAAAAGAAGATAGAAACACTACCACCAGCCATGAAGTGGAATCGCTGGCAGGGGAACTTTACGTCAACTCTTCCCATTTCACAGTCTGTGCCCTGGAATCGAAAATCGACGCTTAAGAAAAATCTATCCAGGATTCTTCACTCTGAAGTTCAAGGTTGCCACAAAAGGTGTGGAAATAGGCCTTCGAGCTTCGTGCGAAGCCACAAATTACATGTGCTTTTCATGACCTATATGACATCGTATCTTTAAAAGGAAACGGTTCTAGACTAATGAAGGATCTCGATCACGGTTACGCTGCCCAAGAAGAGTGACTTAAGGGATCTTCGTAATTACTGCTCGGTTTGCATATTGAATATGCTTTTCGAGCTCTTCTCAACGATTATCATACTGCATTAGTCAAAGATTTTGGAATAGGCGCAACCACGTGAATGAAGAAGATTCCGTAATTTACTCTGATAACCTCAGAATCGAAGCTTGTGTTAAAAAAATCAATTCGATGCATCATCTGCCCTTTGTATTAACAAGTGTCGGTATAAGAGCGTCCAAAGGTATAGTGACAAATACAATCTTCTCAGCGACCAAGAAATGGATCCGTGCTAATACTGCTTTTCTATCGATTCATTGTCATCAGCAAAGGAAAGATGATCCGCCAAATCGAACAACTTAT